TCTAAGCATTTTTACAAATTGTGACATTCTACCTTGAAAGAATCGTAATACCAGGGATGTGTTGACTTGCTTATTTGTTTTAACAATTCCTTTCATGGACTCTGGGCACTTTTCTCTTGACATGCCATCATGCCCAAGTTCCAATCTTCCTTTCATAACTAGTTTGGTCTATATATTTTATTTCGTTTTATTTTTATTTTTTATTTTAGTTTATTTATTTTTTACAGTCCTGGGGCTTGAACTGAGGGCCTGTGGGCCCTGTCCCTGAGCTTCTTTTGCTCAAAGCTAGCACTCTACCACTTGAGCCACAGCACCACTTCTGTTTTTTTCTGTATGTGGTACTGAGAAATCGAACCCAGGGCTTCATGCATGCTAGGCAAGCATCCTACCACCAAGCCACATTCCCAGCCCTGGCCTATATATTTTAAACAACTACTATAATTGACCTAAAACTCTGAGATTGCAAATTTCTAATGATTATTATTGCTTTTGAGGGGGGGGGCAGCTGATTACTGGGACTTGAACTCATAGCCTAGACTCTCATTTGGCTTTTATTGCTCTAAGCTGACATTTTACCACTTGAGCCACAACTCCATTTACAGCTTTTTGCTCATCAATTGGGGATACCAATCTCAGGGACTTTTCTGCTTCACTGGCTTTGAACTGCATTCTTCAGATTTCAGCCTCCTGTGTAGCAAGGATGCCAAGCATGATCCATCCTGCCTGGCCTAGTAGTGGTGTATCTAAACTTTATCCATGGACTGAGGATTGATTTGAGCAGTTTATGACTTGTGAGGCCCTGTGCTCTGCCACACAAGTCACACTTTGCCTCTGTGTTTGTGATTCTCTTCCCTGTGCCTTGTGAGTACTGGAATTTCAGATGCACTACACACTTGTTTTGTGTTAGGACTTTTTATTGTTGTTCTTTAAGATGCTTCAATTAATCATTAGCAGAATGGAGAATTTCATAGAATTATATGCCCTTAAGAAATACTATGGCTGGGCATAGTGGTGGAACTCTGCAACCCCAACATTCAAGAAGTTGTCACACAGAGATTGGAGTGTGAGGTCAGTCTGGGTTACATAGACAGACTATCTGAAAGAGAGAGAGAGAAAAAAAGCCATGAATCCAAGGTGGATGGTTTTGTTGGAATACTTGAGCATTTTTATGGCCTCCGGGGAAGGGAAAAAAAAACAAACCACCTTTGTAGAGGGGAATTGCTTAGAAGGTGTGTGTGTGTGTGTGTGTGTGTGTGTGTG